AACCATATTTTAGCGGCCGATGGCTGCCACAGTATCCCAGCATTCATTGCAGCCCATGCTCTACAAACAGAGGGAGTCTGGAATCTACTGCGAGGCCTGGCTGCAATGTATTGAGACCTCGAGGCCACCGCAGTAAACAGATCATACAAGTTCTGTCAGTGTCTTGCTTGGAATCAAAATGTTGTCTGTTAAAGGGGGGAAAAAAATTTTGAGCGCCGAGTTTATGTCTTTGACATATTCTCGATATTCAGGAGAATCCAGTACCCTTATCGTGCCCAATTGGAGGTCTACGATTGATTTTCGTTCTGAGGAGTACTTAGACGAAGACAGAGAAGCATACAGTCCATTGGCCGACAGATTTATTCTTAGTGGCGTCGATATCAACGATACAGTTTATCTGCAACGATCCATTACATATGATGAGTCAGCGTTCTTGTTTCCAGCTGCAGGGAAAGTATCAAATGAAGCAGCAATCCTTCATGGTCCCGAAGTCATTAATGGGCACGAACATGATTCTGGAATATTGTTCCTTGGGGTTGTGATCAGTGTCCACAATAAGATTGGTTTGTCGTACCAATGGTTTTTTAATGGTCAACCCCTTTGTAGTGGTCCCCACCGATGTCTGATAAAAGTAACGGAACCAGGATCGTACTTTTGTAAAGTGTTTTACAAAGAAATCATGCTGCAATCAGCAACAGTCACTGTCACTGCTTTTCCTGAAAGCCAAAGGTAGGTTCAATTATAGAATACAGGTATACTATTCAATAGACTGCTTTCAAGGATACCTTTTGACAGGCCATTCTGCTCAATCTTTTTATGTAATAGTCCAGAAGCAAACATTTCCGCCAGCCTTACATGCTGTTCCGAACGCGAAAAATAAACTATTTTGGCGTCAGCTCTAAAATTTAACTATTTTTATTTCAGTGTCTACCAGAAATTACAAGGAGATACATCAAGTACGAGTGACAAAAAATCAAGTTATCCGTTATCAGTATCTGTGGCTAATTTGCTCAAAACTGGGGAGCTCAGGCTTTAACAGAGAAAGTAATAGCATCCTATGGATTTGGAACTACCGAATGTTAGAGTTTTATCTATTTTTATAAATGTCTCATTTAATGTCTTTTCTGATGAATTTGTATAATACGCTTACCCACTTGCATCTCGTTTTAATTATAGTTGGTTTTTATTAACCTGTGAACACACATTAGTATATTCAGTACTATCACACTTTGGTCCCTATATTATATTGTCTGCGCAGAACTTTGATCTAACTTTGTATAGGAGAATTTTAATACTTAAAAATCTTAGATCTCCCTGTTGATATTTGTGTTTTGGTTGTTTAGAAAATACCCTGCTTTCCCTGGTATTTGCACTTTCATACGTAACATATACCTCTGAATGCTAGGAATCCATTCATATAATGTGTAGCAGTTATTGCAAAGTTGAATAAAATTGGAAGTCAATGGACTGATAGTCTAGCACAACCCAATTTCAATTGTTTTATACTGTCAAATCTTGATGTAGTGAAAACAAACATGCACAGTGCATGTCATGGCTTCCAAAATGACTTTTCCACTAAAACATTTTAAACTAGTTTAACGAAAAAATACCGGAAACACCAGTGGAAACGACTCGGAACTAACTTAAGCTAGGTTAATTAGTCAACTGTTTACACGCAAAAAGCCGAGTTTAGTTGCTTCAACTCCGGAAATGACACCTTTGATAAGCGACCTAAAAAGATGGCTTAAGTTGGACTACCGCCGGCCGTGACCAATCAGAGCTCAATATTTGACAATTTGCTGTCAAAATGTTTATCTAGACTAACTTGAAAAGCACCAGAGGGAAGAACGTGGGCTCTGTCTCTTGGTCTATCCTAACCTCAGATTGCGAAAAAATCGATTTTGCTTTCTCAAGAATAAAGCAAATGTTAAAAGCAGTGTTGTAAACACAAGCGCTTCTTGTCCCGCCGCTTTTTGAATCTCGCGCTATGTATGGTAATGTGATCTATCTAGTTTAAAATCACCTCAAATTACATAAAAAGATATAACTAGCTAAAACTAGTGTGAGCTGCGTCGGTGTTTCTAATGAAACAGTAATGATGAAAAGGTAAATTATACACCGCGAAAAGATGAAAAAACTTACTTATTTACTTTTTCATCTTTTCACGGTGTATAATTTACCTTTTCATCATTACTGTCTCAAATTACATAATGGAAACAAGCTGCACATTTACTCTAGTTTAAGCTGGTATGTAAACAAAGGGTGCGTTTCCACGAGTCTGTCTTTTCGTCGAGGGTCGAGGGTCGAGGGTACCACGTCGAGGGTCGAGGGTACCAAGTCGAGGGTCCAGTTTTGCGTCGAGGGTACCAAGTACCAAGTACAGGGTAGACCGAATTACAATTTCTAATATGGAGGAGAATTTCTAACTATTGAAAATAAAAGCCATTCGCGGCAAAGTTGCATTTGAGCCCCAAAGGTCATTTCCGGTTTAATGCTTAGGCTCTGACAAACACGACCGATTTTGTAACGCCACGCTTGACACGATTCAACACTATTATACTATTTCTTTGGAGCTC